TAGGTAAATCAACTATTTCTATGGTCATATTCAATAGCTATGTTAGTTTACCAGTGGGTAGATGGTGAACTGGTTTGTTAATAGCCAAGTTGGGAGAATGGGGGCTAGAAAATTGGATAAATTGGGAAAGCCATCATGAAATATCCGCTATAACTTACCAGATCTTACCAGTCAGTAGTTGATTAAGTGGTTTGTGGTTACCAGTTACTTGGGGGTGCAGTTCCACTGAACGAAGTACCACCTGGAGCCCGGGCAAGCCAAGGGAAAGCCTGTAGGAACGACGCCTGGCCGCCTGGCTGGCACGGCTGTTGACTCCGTGATCTCTTGGAACTCTTTGTCCTTGACTCCTTGACATTTCTTGCTCTTGACATCTCTTGATCCGGTGTTTGCGCTGTTTGCGCTTGTCATCTCTGAATCTTGACAGCCCCTCCTGAAAGCTTTGGAGCCTGGGACCTGACGCTCTTCTCTCCTGACAATCTTCTTTCCCTACAGCCCTACTCTATTCACTCCCCTTTTCCTTTCCCTTCCCTATACCCTCGTCATTTCCCTTTATAATTTAATTCTTCAAATCCCTACTCTCGTCACCTCCCTACTGTCGTCACTCCCCTCTCTTCCCCATGCTCTTCTCTGTGTTTGAGAAAGCGCAGGGTTCCGTGCGATTTCTAACCTCCAAGCATCACCCGGACGAAGCCTCGAATCAGAACCATTCCAATATAAACGCAGTGATTTCTAACCTCCAAGAGCATCACCTGGACGAAGCGTCGAAGCAGCAATTCCAATGCAAACTGCAAGCCTGGATCACCAAACACACTGGCACTCCGTCTTTAACCTGTGTTTCACTGATTCAATGACCAGATACTTGAATCCATTCGATTTGTGTTGATCGACACTTTCCATAATGTCGCAAGTGTTAGTACATCTTTTGGTCCATCACTATTCAAAGTAAATGACCCATCGGCAAACCCGTCCCTCTGAGATTGGCAACGCTCGTGACATTAAACATGATACAGACATCTCATGACATTTTCAGAAACAACCATGTGTTTTGCTGGTTTGACATCAAACTTGGTGGGGTTGACATCAAACCGGCCAGAGTTTATGATGCGGGCTGGCAGGCAACTTTGCTTGGTGCTGGAGTCACAATCGAGATGATTGATCCTTGGCTCGGGTCATTTTTGGACACATGGCTATCATTGTTGGTAGAGGTCTACATGTGGAGCAGAGCAGAGCTAGTTGCTGCTAGTTGTTTACTGGTGAGTGGATCGGTCACTTGGGTTTCAGGGTCATTTCGTTGTGAGCATTTTGAGCGTTGATGTTGGTTCTACAAAATGCAAAGAGTCGCTCTCTTCCAGCGACGTTTCGCTGCAACAACTAATGTGCATCAATGGGATATGGACATGTTGTAGGAAAACATGTTTTTAGCATGTTTTAGCGTTAAACAAAAAGGGAGTTCCTCCAATGTTCCCTTTAAGAACAGTTATGGGACTGTGATGGTTGCAGTAGTAGAGAAACCAGGACTTAGTTCGACGGTGGGTCGATGCAACAGGAACTTCACCCACATTTCCAGCGAGGAATTTGTCTCAAAAATGGCTAGACCCAAAATCCACTGCTGGTTGGTGGTTTGGAAATGTTTGGAACACTTTTTTGTTGTTCGATTCAGTTGGGAATTTCATGATCCCAACTGACGAAGTCACGAAGTCATATTTTTTTCAGAGGGCTTCAAAGCACCAACCAGACTGGTTTATCATGGTTTATCATCATTTTCCCTATTCTTTGTTTGACACTTGAGACAACCCAACTGCTTTAATCAAAATTAAGTCTCCAAAATCTAGCGCTGCTGCAATCCCAAAAATCAAATGCGTATGGCCCAGTTACATTTGGGGTGCCCATATGTGGGGCATTTGCATGGGAAAATGGGATCTCAAAATGGAGGATGTTCCCTGTTCACTTCGTGGAAGCACGGCTTTTGTATGGAAACATGCATGGGATTCTTTCAGAATAGGGTGAAACAAATCCACTTGTTTATCGTCATGTGTCCAACTCAGATGGAAAAAAAAACTTGGTGGATGAGTCGTGTCAAGGTCCATCCAGGATTTCTCAACGAAAAGCCACAACAAGCAGTTTCGCTTCTCCCCGGGTTCTTTGGTGATTTTAAACTTTAAGTTGTTACAGGGTTTCTGCACTGAATGAATCGCAGTGGATTTTGCGGAATTTTATACAGAGGAAACGCATGCATACAAATGCAGAAAAAACAACACGAACAATACTGATTGGTGGTTTGGAACATTTTTTATTTTTCCATATATTGGGAATAATCATCCCAACTGACTAATATTTTTCAGAGGGGTTGAAACCAACAACCAGAATAATTTGGTTGCTCAAAATTGATCAAAACACTGATGGTCTAGGCAGACCTATGCTGTGGGTATATCTACACTCATCCCGGAGTAGATAGAATGAATGGATATTTCAATGGATATTTCAATCAAGTATACCAAAACTATGGGAATGTGATTGAAATTCTGATATTCTACTTCTGGATGATGCATCTGGACACTTTCTTCGGTAAGGGTCCCGTACGGGAGCCTCGTCAGCGCCAGGAAAGTAGCTACTGTGCTCTGCGGGACCATGAACACATCGAACTCGATCGACGTGGTGCGGCAGAACGCCTTCATCAACGCGTGGCCTCGTCATTGTCGAAGTGGGATCATCGTCTGATACCCTCTGGTAAACAGCCACATCACTATGGAAAGATCCACCATTTTTAATGGGAAAATCACCTATTTCTATGGCCATTTTCCATAGTTATGTGGCTGTTTACCAGAGGGTAATCTGTGTTTTGTTGCTCACACTCAATATATGCGCCGATTGCCTGGATCCAAGATGATCCAAGTACCTGCAGTTTTGGCCATTTACCAGTTACAAGTACGTAAAACACCATTTATGGAAGGTATAATCCCATTTATAACCAGTTTATAAATGGCCATAACTTTGAGTTTCCCAAAATCATACCCCAAATACTTTGCAAGAAAGCATACAGCACTCCGATCGGGTAACCAGTCAGGGACTTCCAGGGGCCGGAGACCGACAGCCTCAAGCACGACTTTTATGTTCTGCAGGATTGACCAGGGATGACATGAAACCAACATCTTTTTCAAGCATATACTAATGAAAGCAAGAGGTTATATAAGTTATATATGTAGTATAGTTATGTAATGCCATTTGATATATATATATATATACATATATGACATGATATGATATAGTTTAATGATGGCACATTTACTAATGTGGATTTATCATTTAGCGATAACTAGTGTGTTCAGGTGATCAGCCACTAATGAGGCGCACAATTATCTCCCACAATTATGCCAGTATTTGAAGAACAGCTTTCACCATGAGAGATGGTGCATTTGCAAAAGACCTTAAGTAAATTTTCTCGGATCTGATATTGGAAATCCTTTCTCCGTCCATATCACTAGTTTAGGCTTAGGCCCTTACACACATTAAACTACTCTCTGAATTGCAACATAAAACCAAAGTCTTGACGCAGATCCCCATATGCCCACATGAACATCTGGAATTGGATCAAGAGAAAATTTGAAGACCTCCCAATGAAATTGGTGCCAAACGAGCATCTTTAGCATCTTTATGCCACTAAGCAAGCTAAGTTGAAATCCCCGATCTCGAGATGATTGCTTGTAGCAATTCTGGATTTCCCATTGCAAGAATTGTTTTTTTTTGAAGGGGACTTGGGTTTCAGGCAACCGTTTTTCTATGATGGCAAAATGCTGGGTCCCGTAGAATACCATAGATTTGTTCCCCACCTGCCACGTGAGGGTTGCTAGATTTTAACAGAGCTCTTCTCCTCCTCCGCCTCCTCACCCGCCGCCTCCTCCTCGCAGTCCAGATCCCAGTGGGCACAGCCGGACCTCCACCGCAAGCTCCAGATCCCAGTGGGCACTGCCGGACCTCAACCGCGAGTTGCAGATCGCAGTGGGCACTGCCGGACCTCAACCGCGACTTCCAGGTGGCAGTGGGCACTGCCGGACCTCAATCGCGAGCTCCAGATCCCAGTGGGCACTGCCGGACCTCAACCGCGAGCTCCAGATCCCAGTGGCACTGCCGGACCTCAACCGCGACTTCCAGATCGCAGTGGGCACTGCCGGACCTCAACGGGAAGAATGTCAGAAAAGATGTCAGATAGAATGTCAGAAGATATGCCAGATAGAATGCCAGAAAGAATGTCAGAAAGAATGTCAGAAGATATGCCGGACAGAATGTCAGAAGATATGCCAGAAAGAATGTCAGAAGATATGTCAGATAGAATGTCAGAAGATATGCCAGATAGAATGCCAGAAACAATGTCAGAAGATATGCCAGATAGAATGTCAGAAAGAATGTCAGAAGATATGCCAGAAAGAATGTCATAATATATGCCAGAAAGAATGTTCTGAATGCCACAAGATATGCCAGAAAGAATGTCATAAGATATGCCAGAAAGATCCAGAAAGAATGTTCTGAATGCCACAAGATATGCCAGAAAGAATATCAGAATATATGCCAGATAGAGTGCCAGAAAGAATGTCAGAAGATATGCCAGATAGAATGCCAGATAGAATGTCAGAAAGAATGTCAGAAGATATGCCAGATAGAATGTCAGAAGATATGCCAGATAGAATGTCATGGTGGGGACCATTCGAAGTGAAGTATTATTTTCTCCAGCGTTCTTTTGAACCCCGTCTTGGAAGCATTGCCTGCGTACAAGAAGGGGCATTGCCTACGTACAAATTGGGTTGCCAACACTTGCCAACGGTTTGTCTTGGCTACAGTATGTCCTCCAGAAAGCCTTGTTTGCCTTCCATATGTAGCATATGTACCAGCATCTTGCGCAACAAATGACCCACATATTATCCTGTGAAGTATATTACTATATGGGGCTTTCCATAGTCATGGGGGCACCCCCAGTTCCCATTTATAAATGGGATTTTCCAGCAAACCATCCAGCTATTGGGGTACCCCTTCTTGTAGGAACCCCCCCATATATACAAAAACATAATATGGAAATACATATTAGAATAATGTAGAAATATGTGTATATATATATATAGGAATCTATACTTTACTATATGTATATCTCCGCAACATATTCCCGGTGAAATCTCCACGATGTAGGGTTGGTATTGGGTTGGTGGCTTCCCCAATCGACAAAGCACGAGGCATCCTGATTTTGATGTGGCCATGCACAAAGATATAAAAATTATATACATATAAATCACATATAAGTTAGATACCCATTTCATCAACCATTTTAAGTATTTAAACTAATACGGGTAGGAGTAGGAATCCGCAAGAAGATTGTTGGTTTGTTGTTTTCCAAGTGATTTACCCCTTGTGATTTATCACTATTATTGATGTGTTTTTTTTGATCATAGGCTTATTACGATTAGCATCTATATTTTTACCATATGTTACCATTGTTTGCTTATTTTTTGTGCTACCATATTTGCTTTAATTGTTTATAGGTAATATTTGCAATTATGGTGAACATAAACTATAGTTTTACCATATTCAAACAATTTGTTGGTTATTTGTTTACCTTAAAAACTATAAACCATTATGTGTGGTTATTTGTTTTCCATATTTACCATAAAACTATAACTATTTAGTAGGAAGCACTTGTTACCACATGATTTCTATATGTTACCACGTATTTGTTGTAGGTTACCATATTTGCCATTGTTTCGTACGTTCTATATGTTTTTTGACGTGTTGCAATCCTTGCGGCTCCGCCAGGTCGTTCAGCAAGTGATTGAAAACTCTCGAGGCTTGGGGGTTGTGGGTTCTGGGGGCCGGCGTTTTAAACAGCAACCGGAAGGACGAGGAATCCTTTAATCGTTTGCTATACCCAGATGCTCCATGGTGCTGAAATATGCACACCAACACTTTCCTGAACAAAATCACCCAGTTTTGTAGGTAAATATACCATACATGGAGCATATGGGAATCCAAACACTGTCTGAGAAGGTACGGCTAACCCTCTAGATTATAGTAAATTATACCCCAGTCACACTTCCTTTCAGATGGTACGGCTGGATCCATAGGGATAGAAATATTGGAACGATGCCGCGCTTAATCAACCATCCTAAAATGAAATTTCTTTGATCACCCAGTTTTTTTTCGGGGCATTTATCAAAGAGGTCTCTGACACTTATTTGGATTTCTCCAGGGATATTGCCAGAGGGATTTTGTTATCAATCCTTTGCGTATTAATGTTGGACATTGATTCGTGCTACAGATGTCCAAAGCCATTTGAAGTTCCATAGTGAGCACTTTTTGATCGATTCAGAAGTAGTTTGAGATTCAGATTGTTGTTATTTTTGAATTTGTTTGCATATATATATATATATATAATGTTGTGGTTTGTAACATGTTTTATTTTTCCGTAAATTGGGAATCATAATCCCAACTGACGAACTCATATTTTTCAGAAGGGTAGGTCAACCACCAGCCTTTCGATCTTGGGGATCAATCATGATTTTGGAGAAGATTGGATCCCAACTGATGGGAGTTTTTGCTTCAGTCCATTTGGTGATGTAATTTGATGTAGGTAATTTGTGAGAAATGCTGTTGATGTTGAATTGCCATTTTATCGCTGTACTATATTATATATAATATATTCTCCATTTTTGGACACGACCATGTCTCAGAAAGGCCACAACAGTTTGTTGGGTTTGTAGATTATCGAAACAGAGACCAATCGATTTGGCAATCATTGCTGTCTCTCCTGGGCAGTATTCCAATATAAGTCACAAGGAATTAGAAGGAATACCAAGTGAACGTGTTTAGCCCGCACGATCCATGTGTACTGTAGTTACCTGCATTTTGTCCAAGCATCGCCCAAATGTAGGTCATCATCATTAATCATCCATATCCACAATCTCAATATATTTTGTTTATTTTTTATGTAGATAAATCTACCTACCAGTCCCATGGGTCCCATGGTTTTTCGGCGCACATGTGGGCCCAGCCAGGCTTGACACGGCGGCAATTCGCCAGCCGTTTGACGATTTCTGGTCGAAGGAGAAGTTGCCTGGCGAATGCGACCGGAGAATTCGACCGGACATGTGGAAATCGAATGGAACATCATTTTCCCAAAAATCAACAGCAACAACACATGATACATTATGCTAGTTCATCATAATTAATCATGATTCCAGACTGAAAATTGATGGTTCGAACCATACATCAATCAACATCAATCAACCCAGCTTTGGATAGCACCAGGTTCTGGGCCTGGGGGCCATTTTTCATTCACCAGCACGTTTCGGCGTTCCCGGAGAAGAACAGGATTTCCACCATGGAAAAGCTGTGATTCCCACTTAAAACTCTGATAAAAAAAGTACACTTCTAAGTCGCATCTAATCGGTTTTGGTTATCACCAATTTTCTAAAAAATGGTGTTCAGTTGTTAGGGAAATCCACGGCATGGAGCCGTTGAAATCACCTCAGCGTTTTTTTTGAGCACTGAAAGTTCAGACACGTCGCACAGAACGTTCTCGCGGTCACAGTAAATATAAGTATCCAGTACGTAGCTATCCATTTGTATACTTTCCAGTAAGAGGGGCGGGCTCTCTGATATTCGTTATATTGGTACTTTGTTTCCTTCAGATGATGGCAATCCCTTGTGTTTTGATGGATTGCTGCAACCCTGCTGTGACCCAGTCGTGGCGAAAGCGATTTGTCCGCATTCTATGACATTCAATAAAAATTGATGCGACGTCAGCCCTTTACAGGTGGAAACTCAGAATTTATCATTAATATTAATATGTATATATATATATTTATATTATGTATATGTATATATATATATATATTGTACCTTAAAAACTAAGAATATGTAAACAGCTAAACTGCAGTTATATTTCCATTATCAGGGTTATTTTAAGGTAGTCATTTGCAATATACTACCTCAATTTATCATCACTGCAGGTGCTGGGGCTTGTAAACAGTTTGATCGTTTCGTTGACACGGCAATGGTTTGATCCTTAACTCATCTGGATCTTGTTTCGGCTGCCCAGCTGCCCAGCTGCCCAGCTGCCCAGCTGCCCAGCTGCCCAGCTACAAAAACGACATTTTACTGGGTTGGTAATAGAACAAATCAATACAGCATAACATTAATTAACATTTTATTACTTCAAGATTTATTTGTTGGTATTACAAGCCCCCATTTTGAGTCTTATTGGTTATTCAATGTGTGAGGCTTTCCTAAAATGGGGTGACCCTCGAAGCTTTGGGAACCAATGATGAACTGGTGTCTTTCATGTTGGGACACACTCCGTCATATAGTACATATAGGTTCAATTTCTTAGATGGGGCGACTAGTTAACTTAGTTGACTTCGTTAACTGCTTAGTACCTAGGTTATAAGTAGGTTATGACCCATTCTATACCTGTTCTGTCCATATGTCCAGTTAGTCCCATGGCCTAAGATCTAAGTGCCCCATGGGACCCATGGGACCGAAAAATTCTCTTCGTTGAGGTGCGGATGGGTTGGCACCGTTCATGATGCTCAGCGATCTGCGTACACCCGAAGTGGGAAGCTGTGCACGAGTCATCATGTACCTGTTGCGAAATCGCCTGCAGGAGGACTGGGAAATACTGTGAAGCCGGCAGCACCAAAAGACTTTCTCAGAAACGTTCATTTTTTGGGTGGAAAATTCACGTGGTCAACGGGAGTGTCGTAAAACTTGATGTTTTGCCGATAAGGGGAATACCGCACTTCTGCTGTATCAGTAGTATTTGCAATGGCAGGTGCTTCCACTGCTTGGAGAGTAAAGGAATGAACTTTATATAGACCTAACCAGCCAAAAAGGTAAAACATGTCGCAGGGGGTCTTAGAATGGCATTGTTTGAGTACTCTCTGTTGGCTACAGAAGGGTCTTCTATAAAGAATAAAAAATACTAAGAACATACAAAAAAAATACAACTCAAAAGTACGAACTCTGAATTGCAGGGTTTAGAAAATAACAGGTTGGCTTTGCATTTATTTTGCAAGTTGGTTCTTGCTTTTCAAAATGAACATGGGGTTGGCTCATTTGGCTCGTTTTTGTTTTGATTTTGTATGTTTTTTGGTTTTGCATTTTTTGATTTGGGGTGTGTCCTTTTTTGTCTTTTGTATTTTTTGAAACTTTGGGTTCGTACGTTTTTTATTTTTATTTTCGAGAAATCGCATTTGTATTTATACAACAAAAATACAACATAAATGAATACAAAAGCAAGACCCTTACAGATACAACCATGCGGCGGGAGAAATCGCCAACAAAAGGGAAATACAACATACATGGTCTTATTTGTTTGTATTTTTTATGATTACAGGGGTCAACAGTTTGTAGCCAACACCGGACTACTCAAGGCAATGTCAATTGGTTTCCGGGTAAACTTTGCTTTGCGTTTAACCTTGCTGCTCTAACCATTTTTGCAGAGCTTCCAAGATCAGTTTGCACTGGGTCGAAATTGGGTGCTAGAAAGAAAAACATGTGTGCACAATCCAGTTGAAATAATATGACTATAGAGTATAGTATAGTATGGCACGAAACATGAGACATACTTGCCGTTCCCATGATCATTCTGGGTTGATCTATACATACTCAAATGATTCTGGAACAAAGTTCACATTCTACAATTATAAGGTGGCCCCCAGTTCTGTTTGTTGCTTTATAAACTCCATGAATACTATAGTGGTATTCTCCATTTATTGCTCCATGATAGCTCCAATTTCACGATTGTTTTCATGATACTCAAAAGTTTCATGTTTTTTCCCGCACCTTGTAAGTTGGCCTTTGGTCAGTATTTCCTGGAATAGATGATGGTCCCATAGAACTCATATTGAAACCTCAATATTTTCCCATGGAAAATTCTCGGGATATTCCCTTAGGCCTGAACAATAGGCCTTATATATGATATGCATACCTCCAATTTATATAGGTACCTGGCCATTGAAGATATTGAGTTCGCCAATTTCCCAGCCAGCCACAGGGCTGATTACCCTTGAGTGTAATTTCTACTGATGTTTCATGGTGAACATAGCTGATTTCATTGACTTCCCCAGTCAGGACTTCAAGATCTCTTGTATAGTGTTTTTATGCCAACCCAGTTTGTAAGGCCCAAATGCTATTGTGGGCCACATCCACAATACTCAAACTCGGCCATCGCAGGGAATTTGAATGAATTAGATTATGACTTGAGATTTCTGTTCTGATCTTTTGTTTTTTTTTTGCAAGGTCGTCGTCCCACTCCCCTGTCGACATTCGCGCAATCCTGCTGATTCCTGAACCAACCAACCGGGCATCATATGTGGCAGTAGATGGCAGTAGTGTCCCCAGTCATGTTATTAGGTTCGTAATCTCCATTTACTAATTCTGCAAGTTCCACAGGCAGTATATGTTGTATACCACTGTATACCGTAAACATCCATAAATGCAAATCAAACCCCTGTTCAAATTTGGAACATGATATAATCTAACAACATCTAACAACTATTTTATATATACCTCTATATATAACCTTTTATTCAACATAAACCCTAGTTGTAAATGAACTAAACCAACTTAGCTAACCCCGGCTGAACCAGCGGCAGCTTGCAGGACATTTGCCTCTATGACCCCTACGATGTGGCGAACGATCTGCACAACTTCAGACAAGAAATGGCAGGCCACAACGATGCAGAGATAGCCTCTAGTGGAAAATCCAATTCCCAATAGTGGTGAAATTGTGTTTGTTTTTTTCCGTGTGCGGCAACGTTTTGTAGACCACAATGGTCATGTACTTGGATGTGCATCCCACTTGGTAAGTGATGTAAACTTGCATACGTACATTTATCGAAGGAACTTTAGAAGTCAAACTTCCGACAGTATGGACAGATGAAAAGCAGAGCAGGGCAGAGGCAGAGAGAAGAGAAAGATTGGAAGAGAGAAGATCAGAGAAGAGAAAGAGTCAGAAGAAAGAAGATGCAGATGCGCGAAAAGGTAGGAAAGTCGCGAAACATTGTGTTTTTCCAATGATTTGTGGCTCCGGAGGGTCGAAAAGTAGGCTCGCTAAAGCGGCGGGTGCGGGGCCAGCTGGTGAGATGAGAGATGAAAAAGGCATGCCGTTGTGGCGCGAAGCACATTTCCAAGTCAAAATGCACAAAACACCTCAGTGTCGGACCACTTTTGGAAGTTGAGATGTCGAAAAAGTGCACACTGTTGTGGCGCGAAGCACATTTCCAAGTCAAAATGTACAAAACACACCAGGTTCGGACCACTTTTGGAAGTTGAGATGTCGAAAAAGTGCACGCTGTTGTGGCGCGAAGCACATTTCGAAGTCAAAATGTTAAAAACACCAGGGGTTCGGGCCACTTTTGGAAGTTGAGATGTCGAAAAAGTGCACGCCGTTGTGGGGCGAAGCACATTTCCAAGTCAAAATGTACAAAACACCTCAGTGTCGGACCACTTTTGGAAGTTGAGATGTCGAAAAACGCCGTTGTGGCGCGAAGCACATTTCGAAGTCAAAATGTACAAAACACACCACCGTCGGACCACCTTTGGAAGTTGAGATGTCGAAATTCTGACAGTCTATCTGGCATCTATTCTGACATCCTATTTGGCATCCTTTCTGGCATCTATTCTGACATTTTCCCCGGCATTCTATCTGGTATTCTGTCTGATCGAAGGAAGTTTAGAAGTCAAACTTCCGACAATATGGACAGATGAAAAGCAGGGAAGGGAAGAGGCAGAGAGAAGAAAAAGATTAGAAGAAAGAAGAGTAGAAGAGAAAGAGTAAGAAAGAAGATGCAGATGATGAAAAGGTAGGAAAGTCGCGAAACACTGTGTTTTTCCAATGATTTGGGGCTCCGGAGGGTCGAAAAGTAGGCTCGCTAAAGCGGCGGGTGCGGAGCCAGCTGGCCAGATGAGAGATGAACAATTGCACGCCGTTGTGGGGCGAAGCACCTTTCGAAGTCAAAATGTTACAAACACAAGGGGTTCGGATCACTTTTGGAGGTTCACATGTCGCTTGGCTTCGCTTCGCTTCACCACACTACACTACACTACACTCCACTACACTACACTACATTACACTACACTACACTCCACAACACTACAACTACAACTACACTACACTCCACAACACTACAACTACAACTACACAACTACACTACACACTACACGACACTCCACCACACTACACTACATTACAGCACACTACCTTCCACTACACTTCACTACATTACACTACACTACACTACAACTACGACTACGCAACTACGCTCCGCTACACTAAATTACACTACACTATACTACATTACACTACACTACATTACATTCCACTACACTCCACTACACTACATTACACGACACTACATTACACTGAATGACACTGAACCACGGATAGACAGGTAGACAGATAGACAGATAGACAGATAGACAGACAGACAGACAGATAGATAGATAGATAGGCAGAT